TTTCCCTGTTCCGTTTTGCTTACATGCTTAAAGCACCTACGTCTTCATCCATGATACGTCTGTGTTTATTGCGTATTTATTATGCTTATCAATGTTTACACCAGTAGTTGCCGGTGAGGACAATACAACTTCTCTAATTTGGTAGCTTTGCAACACATTTTTGCCAGACTTGGCGTCTTATGCCTAACGGAATAAATACGCATTGAACACTACCGGTAAGTCGGCCCGTCCGGTACAATGGCGATTCAGACCCGTCTGGCAGACACTGCCGTGATAAAAGCATTACATGACGCAATCAAGCGATTACATATTGAGGGATGTGTCTGTTAAGTATTGAAATTGTGTCGGATAGAACATTTTTTGCAGCTTACGTGTTTAAGTGTTGTAGAAACCGCAATTTCACTTTTTAGTAAATATAGCAAAACAGTAGTCACAAATAAGCTATCTTCGCCGCACATGACGCTTGCCTCAATCTACTCAAATGTGAGCCATTCCCTTGATAATCGAATCATCGTCCTGATTCACAGGTTTTCACCAGAGCGAAAAAAGCGTCCACCCGCCCACGAACGTGAGCGTGAGAGACTCATATCAACACCTGCCATCATGGAAGGAGGCCGGAACGCTCTCGTTGTTCGGAGTTCTTCCAAACATCTTTTTTCCAAAAAAAAAAAAATGTGGAGCGCTATGATCTTGTGCGTATTTTAACACTTAAATAGAAAATATAATTGTGTTCTAGACCTTTTTCAGCACCGCCGTGTGGGGAGAGAGCTTGTGGGCAATGTGTGGGCACGCCCCTGAGTCCCCCAATTTGTTGGATGGTCATTTTACATCAGTTCTCAATATGCTCCAAGTCCTTACTACCCTGTCTCCTCAGCGTAAAAAATTGACCGCTCACTGAAGGTGTAAACTCACCATATCAAAACCACATGACGTCATGATATTGATAACTTGGGTTTTTGCATCAGCTCTGTTATCGAAGGAATGAAACAAGTGAATAAATTCCCTTTCATAACTCAACACGCGCCCGGGTGGCCGATTACATACCCTTCGCTCGGGTGGGGGGTCAATGTGACCCCCTGTGATCTAGGGAACTAAGATAACTAGAAACACCAAACTCACAGGGTGTGTTGGTCTGTACCTGAAACCACTCAGGTCAAAGTTTTAGGCTTTTAGGTCATGACCTTTGGATCAAATAAGGTCAAACAAGGTCGATCTCCAGGTTAATCTACAAAGTGGCCCCTGAACCTAGATACCTGTTCGAAGTAAAAGGTCACATGATCATTGCAGATCAGTGACCTTGTTTGAACTTTGGAAGGTCGTGGTGACCAAAATCATACAAGACTGTTTTGAAGTTTGCATTTGAATACGCAACAAAGATTACGCTGGACAGTATGTTCCTAAAAACATAAAGTTGTTCTGGGTCATTTTAGGTCAGTGACCTTTTCTGACATTTGAGAAGTGCATGTAAGATGTATAATGCGGTTCCTATTATCTATAAATTCGAAATGAACACTAGAAACTATCCCATACGGCAAGCCCTAGACAATAGAGCAGATAGACTTTGACGTTGGTTTGACCTTTAAAACTGACCGTAGGTCAACAGAATTTGTACATTCAATTGTTGCGTTGCCTCAGAAAGTATCTCAGAGATGTATGGTCTCGTCTAACACTCCGTTGCTGCATCAGATTAGACGATTGCCGAGAAGTTGGCCGCAGAATCTATGGCATGAATTTGGCCTGCCGTAGGTCAGTGACCCTTCAAAGTACATCTAGATTGTAAATACTAATCGATCCGCTATTAAATTTTCTACATCTAAGCAAAATTTTGCGTGACTGCGCCGCACCTTTCGGAAATCATTCCGGAAAAAACTTTAAAGGGTTAATTTCACGCCCGAAAGTTTGACTTCAGGAAGCCAATGTACCCCCCCCCCCAGCGTGTGTTAAAACAGCTTCGTTATTTACAACACATCAGTATGTTGCAGATATGGCTATTTAAAAACTGATGAGGGCATTATCACTGTTGTACGTAACTTCATTATTGCCAGAGCGGCGCGGTTTGCCTTAAAATGCGCCATCACGGCATTGACCATTGCCAACCGTCTTGGCTCATGCCCCAGCGTGAGTTAGCCGAAGGGACTGTAAGGAGCTAAGAACTCGTGGTTCATCCGAATGTAGCATTTGGTGCGTGAGCTGTGTGAGTGGGAGCAGAAGCTGGCTACATATCTTGCTGGGTATTGAGCAACACGGCATTGATCACGCTTATGGATAAGGCATACCCAATTTTGCGTAAGTGACTGTCCAGCATTATGCGTAGCGGGTGTGGCTGTGAAAGGGGCATAAGACTGAACATATCTAGGCTCTGAGCTCTTGCTCTGTTATCGTATGAAGATGTTAATTTCACTGCAATTTGCACCTGTTAGTATAATTCCAACATCAGGCCTCAGTATGGGGACAAAATCATTGTTAAATTCATTTATCTTATGTTTGACAGACACTGAAAATTGGCTACATTTGACCACATCTTGTTGGGACAGCACCTGAGCAGGATTTTCAGTTAAGGATTTGTTTATGTACCCTTTGGGCATAACCTCAGCATATCAAGGGGAAGTATTTGATGTCCAGTGACATTTCTAATTTAAGACTACACTCGCCTGACAGGCAGTGCCTTAAATGAAGCAAGCGAGTGCTACTTTAGGAGCAAGTTCCAGGCTGGCTGTGGCTGATACATCCCATGGACATTTTCGCCGTGCTTGGCCATTTAGGAAAAGCTGGTATCAAGAACCTAGAGCTGTTTAAAATTATAGTGCGTTCTAATATGTGTTATTGTCTAATTATTTTATTATATCTTGAAGTCATTGTAATATATATTTTAAACATGTTAATGATGTATATTATCTAATATGTGATACCTTCGAGCATAGCTATTTGAAAAAGCCGTTGAAAAATGTCCCGACAAGTGAACTGAGGATGCTTCTTTCAGGAGTGTTTTTATGCTCAAGGTTTGGAAATTTGTTTGGTGTGTGCCAGTTGGTCCAACTTTGGTGAAAGATCACCTGCTGGAGCATGCTAGGTAAAACAGAGCCAGGAAATAGGCATAACGCTTACCTAATTTGATGCAAGATTTAGTATGCCTTCGGGCTTAGCATCTTCCTAACATCTTTGCCATGACTTGAAGGCTGGTTGATTGTTTCATGAAGCAATCTGCACTGGGCAGATTGAGTTGGCATCCCATGAAAGCAAGCCATATCATGTGTGGTCACATGGTCTCTTGATTCGTGCAAGCAATGCATTATTTGACAAGCTTTTTTTGTGCAGATATGGATTCCTAGCGCATAAAGTACGAACAAAGTATTGGCGTATTGCCTATATGAAGCGAGAGGAGAGGTGTGCCATGTTCACTTTAAGTCACACAGATGAAAGGAAATCCTTTAAACTATTCCCCTTTTTGGTATTAAAATAAGCTTATTGGCTGACAGAAAGAAAGTGCAGTTTACTTCCCAAAAGGTTATACTAGGTAGAATGCACTTAGATGGAGAAGCCAACAAGCTGCACACTTGAGACCTGGCCTCATTTTTTTCTAGCTACAAATCATGTAAAGGAGACAGATCAAGACATTTATGATTCGTGGGAGACAGGTAAAGGTTTTTCACCTCTGGTTTTGTAATGCAGAATGTTGGGGCGGATCGTCCTGCGGTTGCCTAAACTAAGAAAGATAGTCTCCCAGAACACAGTGAAATTGTTCGTTAAATTCCCCCCCCCCCCGCGCCCATTATTGATGATCTTACGTCACGCTGGGTCAATAATTGACCACACTACGCCAGGTAAAAATTTAAATTTTCCTTCAAATCAGACGATTTTCTTTACATGCAGGCATTTACAACATTATGTCACGTAGCTGCATGCGAAGTGCAAAGAAGTGTTGCTCCTTTAATTCTGAGCGCATTGACATCCATTTGCATACGTTTTGTGCATATATTGATGATATACCTCGCTGCGGCTGTGAACTCTGCTGAGACCAATACCCTGTTCTTTTTGTTTGGGGGGGGGGGGAGGCTCTATCATGATAAGTTCAGGAAACGGCATCTGAGGAGTTTGCATTGACCCCCTAGCCCTTGGGCAATGAAAATGACGAACCAAAATGAAAAAGGAAAGGAGTCATGAAAGTAACAAATTCGTGAAACAAAATGCGAAGTGAAAAACGATGAACCAGAACGAGAGTCAAAATGGTATTTTGGTGTGCCAAATACATTTTTACAGGTTTATAACAGCGTTTGGTGATGACCTGTGAGCTTTCGGAGCTTTTGCTTTTGCTCGGAGATAAGCTCGGAGCTTTAGTAAACTTCTTTGAGGCGACTTTCGGGGCTGCGGTCGCGGTTTCTGTCTTCATTAAAAAGAACATCAAAGTGTTCTATGTTATGATCACAGTCACTCATTTCTTCAGCTTATTATGGATTCAGTGCTTGGACCTCTCGTTAAACAAGCCATTTGGCATTCAATAGAGTTAGGCACTACGGGGACCCCTTATTCGGGGTCACATTTCACCATGCAACATCCCAGCGTGCATCCAACCACTAACCGCACACAGCTCGCAATTATAACCAGTAGAAAATCCATGCACAGCTTTACGCGATGTGTGATTCGTAGTCCACCAGTAAAATAGCTCGGTATAATATAACAAACACGAGGCCAGCTCAGATAAGTAATAATGGTGCCTGACCAAACACGCTAGCAAGTACTGAACCGCAAGCGATGCTTATCGATGACCACGCATGTATTCGCTAGCGAAATTACACATATTCTATGCGATGACACCGATTCGTCAACAACAGCATCTGACAAAAACGCTGGCATCATTGCGCTCGCAATCACAGCACGTCTGTTGCTCACCCACCGAGGTTTTAGTCCTGTGACGCCATACGTCACATGACGCCATACGTCATACGACGTCATATATCCTGTGACGCCATACGTCATACGCCATACGTCGTCACATACGGCCTTCACCTACGCCAACTGGCGTCGTCGAAGGCCTCGTTGGCAACACCGCGGTTGGCAGGCGCCGACGGTCCCCAGTCGGCCGTAGGGCGCAGGAGGGCCGTCAGTTTGCCGCCCCGCCACAGCTGGACACAGACCATGCCGACACCGACAGCGACGAGGAGGAACGCTGGGGAGGCGGCCAGTGCCATTGCGATGTGCTCGGCCAGCGCTGGGAAGTGCTGCACGTCTTCGCCGCAGCGGTACGACACGGGTTCGTGGAACACCAGAGTGAGCACCAACATACAGACCAGCACCAGCGGCGCGACGTATTTCCACACGACCAGCCAGTAGAGCCGCAGAGGCGTCGGAATCATGATGCCCATGTCGCTCTGCATCAAGTTCAGCAGACGCTCCGCGCCGAACACCCAGGCCACGACCAGCACCTCCACCAGCGCGATCGCGAACATCGAGTAGGAGACGGAGTAGTGGTCGACCAGCGCGAACACCAGCACGCCGCCATTGAAGCACATGCTCAGGCAGGCCACAAAGAACATCGCACAAGTTATCATTACCACAGTCCCCTTCCTCCCGCCTACGCGTGGCCATTCATCAAACACAGCGGTGGTCAGCGACTCCATCATGGTGAATTGAGAGTCCAGACCTAGCGTGATCATCATGATGAAGAAGAGGGCACTCCAGAGGGGCGCCACCGGCATGTGCGACAGCGTCTCCGGATAAACAATGAAAGCCAGCCCCAGGTCCGTGTTGACCACCTCCGTCAGTCTTTTGTTCATTTGCAGGGCCGTGAAACCCAACATCGAAAACACGATAACGCCCGACAGGAGAGAAGTCATCGTGTTGACGATTCCCACGAGGATGGCGTCCCTCATGCAATTATTTTTGAAGCGACTGAAACTGGCCAAGGTGATTAGTCCGCCGTGACTGCAGCCGAGTGAAAAGAAAGTCTGGGATGCAGCGTCTATCCAAACGGTTATGTCTAACAGCTGGTGGTAATCCGGGATGGCGAGGAACCGCAGGCCTTCAATGGCCCCGTCTAGTCCTGTGGTGGGGAGCACCAGCATGAGTAGAACGAAATACGGAAAGAAGACGGTAAAGTAGATTATCTTACCGAAAGACTTGATGCCCCTGAAGATGCAGGAGCCCACTAAAATCCAGGCAGCCAGCAAGCAAAGTGAAAGGTCCCACTTCATGCTTCCAAAGTTCTGCCAGCTATGGTTTTTCACACCTAAAACATTGTTGACGTAGTACTCCTCGCTGGCCAGCACTCGGTGACCGACATGGCAGAAAATGTCGGCTAGCATCGCTTGTTCAGCGGTGCTGTTGATGCAGTGCGTATTATTGTACGGTGAAAAGTCGTGCTGCATGCAGAACTCGCTAACCGGGTAACACGTGTTGTTCCAGAATAGCTTGGCTCTATCACTGCTATTCACACAGAAGTCATCGTCGGCTATCGTGTAGCAGTCCCTTGTGTTGTAGTCGTGCCCGCACCGCGACCACGCGAGCTCGGACGTGAAGGACGCCGCCGCGTAGAAGACAACCCAGGCGATCACCATATTGTAGGTGAAGCAGACGAAGGCCGTCATCAGCAGCATGGCGTAGCCGAGGCCCGAGAACAGCGGCGACAGCTTCTGGAACAGCTTGTTGGGACCGAGGCTGGCGTACTGACCCAGCGTCAGTTCCATCACGTACATGGGTATGCCCACCGCCAGGAGCATGATGAGGTACGGTATGAGGAACGTGCCGCCGCCGTGCTTGTAGCACAGATAGGGGAAGCGCCAGATATTCCCCACGCCCACCGAGTATCCGATGCAGCTGAGGATGAAGTCGCACTGCGAGTCCCACTGCTCACGTTTCCTGGTGGTTGGCATTGTGGCACCTTCCTCGATTTTACTTCACCTTAAGCACGCCAGATTTTTCGTCCGCTGCCCTGCTGGGTCCTCTTGGTTTATTACCGCTATCTACCGCAGTGCTTCCATGCTTCGGTGCACTGCCTCGCTATTTTGTCGTTTTACTTTTAGCTGCTACCGGTTTTGCCTTCCTATTGATCGGCCACGCTTCATTTCCCCTAATTTAGCCACGCAGTCTGTTGTTTTGTTTCGCAGTTGTCTTCCACTGCTTTGTTCTCGCTCTGTCCTCATCCCCGCTGCCGTCATACTGCGCTGCTCTGGCTCTCTGTCATTCGGCCTTGCCTCGCCGCTCTTCTGGACCGTTCATACCGCCGATGTCCACGTCGCACCGCCCACTTATCGAGGCTGCACCAGACCTGCCCCACTCGGCGTCAGCGCCCCATCGGCACGGCCCACGAGCCCGCCCGGGACCGAGGCACGCTGGTGCTGCCCTGGTTTCCACTGGCGCCGTCACAACCGCGCAACCTTGCCACGTCCATCCCAGCACGCGCTCGACTGTCGGCGCGCAGCTCCCGCACCGAACCGCGCCGGCCGGGTCACCACGTAAGGCGCTCTCCCACCGCGCACCACGCCGAGGCCCTGACCTTCGCCGGATCTCACGGACGACAGCGCAGCAGGAGCGAGCAGCGCGTCGCGACCGCGGAGGCTGCCAGCCAGCGACTGGCCGGTTTTGGCCACGCCACTCGCGGACCTGTTCGCTTCAGATTATGGATGAGCTCGGCACGTTCGTGCAGGTCCCGCCGGCCCGGCCCGAGGTAACAGCCGGAGTTTCCCGGGCGCCTCCCTGTGACAGACGATACTGCCGTCTCTCGATGTAATCCAGGATGCGGTCAGGCTGGTTAAGATAGATTCTATGGCTACGTCACGCTGCCGTGTCACGCGTCTCTCCCGACAGCGGCCAACTGGGCGGACGCCGATGATGGAGACCCGTCGATGAATGCGCAAAGATCAATCAATCCAGTGCTCCAAGCTGCATTTCGAACATTTGAATGCCCTTGGGCAATGTGACGCTACGGGTCCTGGTACCACATTATTCCAAATGGCATTCAGCATTTCATGAACGAAGGATTTTGAAGTATGCCGCGCGAAGGATTTTAAGACATAAATGGCTGCAGTGGGTAAGGGAACATGCACGCTTCTCACGCCCACCTGTAAACATGTGTTTGTTTACCACGCGATCAAACTCGCCTGGCCACGCGATCAAACTCGCCTGGCAACTCTCAGCGCCGCTCCTGGCACATCACGCGGCACTAAGGGGACTCACTCAACCGTGGCGAGCCATTAGCTGTCCATACTACCTTCACCCCAGCAGACCCCTGGTGACCTTGCCATCAGCACGTGCAGTGGCCTCTCACAAAGGCATTGTGGAAGGGCATGACGTGGCCATGCCGAATAGGTGATGCCTCGTTGGAGGCATTAAGCTGGTATAGGCCTGATAATATCCCAAACGTTTGGCTCCACGGCCATTTAACCTTTTGCTCCGAATGACCATGTAAAAAAGCGGTTTTGAAAGGTTTCCTCAGTCGCTTAGCATCAGAAGTACGCTCCCACTGTTGCCATATTCTAACCATTCATTTACACCCTTATTTTCTAAGGCACTGACGACTACACACCTATTCTGAGTATTCAGCTAATCCAAGTGTTTTTTCCAGGTATGTATAATATATATATACATATATATATATATATATATATATATATATATATATATATATATATATATATTTCCAGACATTTGCAGCCGTTATGTGTGGAAATCGTGCCCACGAACGCCAAATGTAAACGACTTGACAAATCCGTTTTTTTGGTCTTGATAGCCGCCTGGCTTAAGGAATGGTAGGATTTTCCCGACGTTATCATGACGTTACCAATGCCAAGGTGACCTTGAAGTGCTCTGCCCGAAGAAGTCTCGTAAAAATCGCAGGCGTGTAGCTCAGAAACTAGGGGATTAGATCTTAACAAGGGAAGGGATGAGAGCTGCACCGAATGATCTTCGAGATGGCTTCTGCGGTTCAAAACCCCATACAAATGTAGAACACTTCCTTTAAAGGGAATGTAACACTTCAAGGGAATTGTTCTACATTTGGAAACTTACACTCCTTTAAAGGAGAGTAAGTTTCCAGTGGTGGTGAAGACTGGCTGACCCTGTGGTCGACGTGGTTCGTTTGCTGATACCGTGCAGTTTAGTGAGGTAGCGTGGCCATTCATCGTCTGACCTAGTTTGAAAGGTTAAAAGTGTAGAATCTGACTTGTTTGGTGGTTTGACCGTCTGGTCCATGCGTTTTGGTAACTGATGCTGGACATTTGGGTTAGCTTATGACTTATCTCCCATTTTGGGTGCTTTAAATGTCAAAATGAATCCTGATTTGCTCACAGCGTGAATTGGATCAAAGGCAGCGCAAGCTGTACAGGTGCGACGGTCAGTTTGCCACATGTATTTAGAGAGTGCGAGGTAAACAAACGCGGCTCAATTTACAGAGTGTTTGAATTACAAGGTATCATCAGGAGGTCAAGTGGATACTCACCACTGCGTCAAAATACTCCTGTAAAGGGATATGACACCACTCCTTAAAACGGCACAGTGCGGGACCCCCATTCGGCTGGCTCTGCACCGGGGGGGGGGGGGGGGGGCGTCTTTTTTCTCAGTGAAGGGCAACTTTGTATCACCACATTATGCTACACCATATCATCGAAGTGCTTCTCGTCAGTATGGGGTTTCACATGCAACCATCGGGGTACGCACTCCCGCGCATTTATGAAAAGACGGTTCTACATGTCTTTCATTTCTGTTCGAGTCAAAGTGGGAAAGATTTGCTTGTCCCAGCTCCTACCGCCCCCTTTCCAGATATTCGTTGGATTCCTCGGAGTCATGCAGATATCCGGATTTCGCCGCCAGTGACAAAATAACACGTCAGTTGACGCCATGCGGAGCGACTCATGTCACGCCATGGCAGCGTCATAGCAGCGCTCGGCAGCCATGTGCACGCCATGGCAGCTTCATAGCGCTCAGCGCACGACACGTGCAGAACGGCTCGGCAGCGATCGCTTCCATTGATCAATGATCGGGGCGTGGCGTCACAAACCTCGAACAGCCGTGACGTTTGTGACGTCACAGGGTCTGCGGCTGTGTTCTGTTTCTCATCACGGCTGTGGCAGGTCAGGGATCGGGATAGCTCACTGGGGTTGTTAGCACTCACAACCATGTAAGTCCCACGTAGTTTCATGTGCGTCGCGGTAACCTAACGTCGACGAACACAGCTGACGCGTGTACCTGCTCGTCACTGATTGCCGTTCGATCCTCCTCGGCTACTGAGCCATGGGGGGGGGGGGAGGGGAGGGAGAAGAGACGCCAAAAGGTACGAGCCGGGCAGTCCATTCCTCGGAGTGCGCAGCGTGCCCCGCACAGCGGGCATGCCAGGGGCCGCATGAGGAACCGAGGACAGAGAACTGTGATCGCCACCGAACGTTTAATTATTGATCTTGAGGTCGCATGAGTCGTTCAATGAGAGGCGGCAAATCACTGGCGGTTCGCTGGGTGACGGTAATCAGACAATGCGAAATGACAGGTCAGTTAAAAGGCCGACCGACCGCAGGAACAAACTCACCAGGGGCGAGTTTATGTACTTGCTATTTACGCTGCACTTCGCGCTCGTCCTCCGCGCTGCTCTGTTCTGCTTCCCCTCGACCTCTGACCGCAGCCGGTGCTTTGATTGCCCGCCGGAGCCAGTCCGACCCGCCGACCTCAATCGAACGCCGGACGTGACCTCTGGCCCCGGCGGGGCCCCCTTTGACCCGCCCCATCCCTGGCGTCCACAAGAGACGACGGCGGGATTTTTAGCGGAGCGGAGGGGGCCGAAGCCCGGCCTTGAGAAGCCGGGCAAACACAGTCAGATGCCAAAGTGAAAATTGGGGGAGTTATCCATCGGTGCCGCGGGCGTGCGCCGCTTTATACCGGGCGGTGACGTCAGCGCGTGACGTGACGGACCTGCCCGGTGATTGGTCGTTGCGATTGCACCACGTTCCGTCCGACGCGCATCGGACCCCGGAAGACTCCGGGGGGTGGGGCGTAGGCCGGCGGCCGGCTGGAAACGGAGCGGGGGCGAAGAGAGGATCGGATATCGGCACGGGTGAGGGTGAGCCATGCGAAGCACGATGAACGTGGATGTTGCTCGCCTTGGGGCCCGGATTCACGAGATTCGAAGAAATGCAATCTTGCGAACCCTAGAATACTAAGAGCCACTCCGAGTCCTGAAACCCACCATATGAATGCGCAGTTGTCGTCACGCCGCTGAGATCAAGAGGGACAAATTACGATTGGGGGTCAAACTAGAACGCTGGAGATTAATGAGCCCTAAAACAACATTTAAGAAATTTGAATGGGAAGCTGCTCAAAACGTACATGGTGTGGGAAAACGTTGGGAAAACTCCTATTGTTTAGAAATGGGGGGGGGGGATGTCCTCCTATCCCTCCCCATGAGTTGCACTCAACATATGCCAATAAATCCATTATAGATAATACTTGAACAATGATGACCGACCTTTGACAGCTCAAAACAGGTCACAGCGTTCACATTAGTGTGTGTGGGGGTTGGGGTGGGGGGGGGGGGGGGGGGGGGTCCTGGGTGGGGTGCGTGCGCTGCGCTGCTACCGGGCCACCGCTGGATGCTTGTGTGCCGCCGACTGCTGCTGTCACGCCTCCCCAAAAGGGCAAATTTATACTGAGGAGAGCATTGGTCAGCACACGAACCAGATGATGCGAGCGCATGACCCGGCACGTTGCGACTCCGGTACACCCGACATCAGCACGCACTCATGCGAGCAACAGAGCTAGGATGAAGTGGGTGACCGGGGTGCGGTACATCCGCCATAGGCACGCGCTCATGTGAGCCATAGAACTAGGATGAAGCGGGTAACCGGGGGATTGGCGGGATGGTAGGTCCGGTCAGGCGCCATGAACGGCT